GCTAGTCTCAAATTCTAACCGATCCTCCTACCTCAGCCTCCCGAGTGCTGGGATTACAGGTGTGTGCCACCAACGCCCAGCTCTGGGTTTCCTTATTGACAATTACAAGGATCCAATTTGATGTGACTGCAGTCTTCATGTTCTTAACCACTATTTTGCCTGCTGGGTGGCCGTGACACACATCCCAAACCCTACAGGACAAACAGAAACATTAAGACTGTCTGCCAAGAGTGGTGTGTGATCATTGATGCGCAAACTGTTTTTTCACTGACATTAGATTTACTAGTTTTTGAGGAAGGCAGCCCACCTTTGTCTAGTTTCACATATAAACTCTTTTCTTCTGCTAGGGTGTGAGGATTCATTTGTCTCTGTGCCACCTAAGACATGTTTCTATCCGAAAGCCTCCAAGCAATTGTACTTTGTTCAATCTCGGATCTGCCTGTGTCTTTTTTTGGTCTCAAAGCACTTGCTACATTTGGTGGTAAGTTCTTATACACCAGGACTGGGATTTCCCGAAGCATCACTTTTGTGAGATTATGTCTTCTGCCCTGTATTTAAACCTTTTTGTTTCTCACACTTCTTTCTAGATATACAGAGTGTTATCAAATATATGGTGAATGCTGCCGCTGAGTGCCATCCAACAAGAAAAAAAAAAGGTTCAAAAAACATTATGGTATGTGCTCGTCTACCTTATTCATTGGATCTGGTGCCATGTGAATTCTGGCTTTTCCCCAGAGTGAAATTAAAGGGAAATGTTCAGCATCAATTCAAGATTTTAGGGCAGCCATGACAGTGCCACTAAAGACACTTACGAAAGAGGACTTCCAGAACCGCTTCAGAGTGTGGCAAGAAGGATGGGATAATTCTGTTCAAAGGGAGGGGGTTTATGTCGGCATGTCTTTTACTATAATACATTTTAAAATTTAAACATTTTCAATCACATTTCATGTTCTTCTGATTTATCTTCTGGCAATTTGTTGATTTTTCTTTTTCGGTGTCTGCTATTGTACCTATCCATCAACCTCTTATTTTCATTCATTTAGTTTTCACTTCTAGAGTTCTTCATATGGTTCTTTGTAATTATTTTTAAAGTTGGTTTTTTTGGTTTTTCTCCGGTACCCGGAACCGAACTCACGACCTTGTGCTTGCCAGGCAGGCGCTTTTGCCGCTGAGCTAAATCCCCAGCCCCTTATTTTTAAAGTTCTCTGCCACAACTCTCAATCTTGCCTTATGTGATCTCCCTGGATATAGCAAGCATAGATATGTAAAGTCGGTAGTGACCCTACTGTGAGTTCTCCCCACATCATGAGCATTCTTGTCACATATCTTTTTACTAAGTAGGACTTCAAGCCTCATGGACAGCTAGCCTAGTGGCACCTCAGCTGAACAGTTGGAGGGATACTTTCTCTGTCTAGGCAGGAGGGTTTCCAAATCACCCCGACCATACGGGCTTCTAATCCTATTTGTAGATGTCTCTAGGGTGGAAATTCCTAGTCCTCTGCATAACGAGAATGGGTTGTGCTCCATCCTCCCTTTGCAGGGCCATAGCTTGAAGCCTGCTGCCATGGGGTGCACTTGAGGTCACCAGGCCTTTCCAGTCCTTACACAGCTGTGAAAGATTTCAGAAAGAAAAGCATGGCCCTCACTTCCTCGTTCCTTCTGGAACGCTTCCCTGGCACCCAAGTCAGCCTGTTGGGCTTGAGTGATCTCACTCATTAGTTGATTCAAAAATGCTTGCTGAATATGTTCTTGGAAGAACTAACACTGACACTCCCATCCTACCTCAATGGCCTCTGGCCTCTGGCCCTAAAAATTACAATGACGGAGCTTCAGAGAAGGGTGAGAGTACCTGATTTTGGGGGGTTTTGTTTTTATAACTTCCTTATGGAGATTTAATTCAGATACCATATGACTCATCCTCTTAAAATGACAATTCAGTGTTTTTAGTATAGTCCCAGAATGTACAAATCTACTTCAATCATTTTAAGAATATTTTTATCATTCTAAAAGGAAACTGCTAATACACTAGACTCACTCCCCATTTCTCCCATTGTCCCCACCCCTAGACCCTGGAAATCGCTGGTCTACTTCCTGTCTCTATACATTTGATTATTCTAGATATTTCATATAAGTGAAGTTATATAATCTATGGTATTTTTGTGGCTGGCTTCTTTCTCTTAAAATAACGTTTCTGAGGTTCATCCATGTTGTAGCATGTATCAGGACTTTATTCCTTTTTATTGCTGAATAATGTTCTGTTGCGTAGATATAACACATCTTGTTTATCCATTCATCAGCTCCTGGACATTTAGGACATATCCATTTTTTTCGAGACAGGGTCTTGCTAGGTGGTGCAGGCTGGCCTTGAACTTGCTTATGTAGCCCAGGCTGGCCTCAAACTCACAACAATCCTCCTACCTCAGTCTCCTGAGTACTGGGTTTACAGGCATGCACCACCGTGCCCAGCTCCACTTTTTATTTTTATGAATAATGCAGCTATGAACATCCATCTACAAGTCTGCATGTGTACATGTGCTCTCACTTCTTTTGGATATATACCTAGAAACAGAATTGATGGGTCAGGTATAGCCCCATGTTTACATTTTTAAGAACTTCCATGTTGCTTCCCAAAGTAGCTACATACCTCACCTTCAGAACAGCCCTATATGAGGGCTCCACTTGTCTCCACAGCCTCACCAATGCTGATCATCTCTGTCTTCTTGGTTACCCCCATCCTACTGGCTGTGAAGTTGCAACTCACTATGGTTTTGACTTGGATTTATCTGGTGGCTATCAATGTTCAACATCTGTTCATATGAGTCCTGGCTACTTGTATATTTTCCTTGAAAAAATGTTTCTTCTGATCCTTCACCCATTTTTAATTGGATTATTTATCTTTTTATTATTAGATTTCAAGAGTTCTGCATGAATTATGCATTGTAATTTGCAAATATTCGTTCCTATTTTCTCAGTTGTCTTTTCACTTTCTTAATGGTGTCTTTTAAAACATCTAAGTTTAAAGTTTGGGTGAAATGCAATTTATCTTTATTTTCTTTCTCCTATTATTTTTATGTCTACCTGAGGAGACATTGTTTAATCCAAGGTCATGAAGACACATGTTTACACTTTCTTCTAAAAACTTTAGAGCTTTAGCTCTTATATTTAGGCCTTTTGATTCATTTGAAGTTAATTTTGGTTCAGTGTGAGGCAGACAGCCAACTCCATTCATTTGTATTCAGAGACTTCTTGCTTTACTTATTGTTTTCTGTAATGTTCTGGGTTTTTATTTTCATGGTCTTAGCAAGAGTGACTCATTTTATCCCACCAACCATGTCTCAGGAAAGTCAGCTTTCCATCACAAGCTGCTTTTGCAGTGAACCCTATGGACAATTATCTTTGAAGATTAGGATCAGCTGTGGCCTCTTTATCCCACCATTGGCTACAAAGATTCTGGAAAGCCTTAATATGAGCAATTCTTTCTTTTGGCAGAGTCATCAACTGTTTCTAACCCCTTTTGCTAAAACACTAATATTTGTGTCGCAACTGAGTTTGCAAGTCTTTTCCAGGGCCAGTCAATTTCTCACTAGCCGGAGACAGAAAACAGGAATAGGACCCTGTTGAAGTAAACTGCCTAGGGAGGGCGTCAGATGGAGCAAATAACTTAGTACCCAGCATACAATTTTGAGAAGCCTGGGCATCTACGTCCCACTGCAGTTAAAATCCTAGAAAAGTCCTCTGGAAGGCCATTCCTTACTTCTCACTACTTCTGTAGCACATGGGCTGCCACAAAGCAGGGCCAAGGTAAGTGTGTAGAGAAAGAGTGTGAGGAGTACGACTGCCAACATGAAAGAATGGGGGAGGGGAGAGCCCTTAGAGTGAAGGGCATCAGATGGACTCTGGAACCAATGGTACCTCCTTTCTTGTGGTGGCCAGGCCAGCAGCAGTGTGACCAAATACATTGGCCATGTGATGGTCAGGAGAGACGTATCAGTGGCACTTGATAGTCCTGACTCATCCCTTCCAGGCACCTTTGGGAAACGCTCTCTGCACCCCTTCCCAGCCGCAGGGGAAGCCCGTCTCTGCCCAGTGGTCTCAGCTTTCTGGAGGTGGGGGCTGGCTCTTTGTCCCACAGACGGGATTGCAGTGTCTGGCCACAGCTCTAGGAGGAGCATGACCACGTGGACCTATCCAGGGCCAGGCAAAGGCAGGCAGCCAGCTGTTTGCCAGCCTGCTGGCTTCCACTTCCTTGCTGGCCGCTGGCAGTTGGAGGAGGGCCTGGCTGCCAACCCAGTTGGCCAGCAATAAAAAGAAGAAGGAGAAACATCTGTCCTTCGCCATTCAGCTATAAAGGGACTGTTGGTGAGTGTACTCAAGCCTGTAGGCTGTTGCAGTAGGGTGCATTATATGCTCTAAAAAGATATGTACACGTCTTATACCCAGGTAGCTGTGATTGTGACCTTACTCAGAATACAGAGTTTAGAGGTGTACTGAAGTTCAAGATCTCAAAAGGAGAACACCCTTAATTCAATGGTAAGTGTTCTCATGAGAAAAAGGAGGGAGGTTTGAGGCACACTTGTGAAGAAAGAACAGGCGGAGACTGGACTGATGCTCTCTAAGCCAGGGAATGCGTGGGGGGAGGGTCACAGGAAGCTGGGAGAGGAGGAAGGACCCTCTCCTAGGAAGCAAAGCCCTGCCTGTCCCTTGATTTTGAACTTCTGGCTTCCGGAACTGGGAGAGGATTCATTTCTGTTGTTTTCTGCACCCGTGTTGTGAGCCTTGGTTACAGCATGCTGCAGGGCATGCAGACAGTTGTCCAGGGTATAGGCCCAGCCAGGGCACGGCCTCCAAGGCTTCTGCTGTTCCCAGGATGCTGCGCTCCAACTCAGGAGAGCCAACCTCTGCCTCCCACCATGGCATATGAGTCCCCAGACCCAAGGTGGGTGTCAGGGTAGGGAGGAGAAGGAGGACTCAGCTCAATCAGCAGACAAAAGAGGCCGGGATGCTCAAATCATGATTCCAAGTTTAATGTTTCCTGGAAAGAGCAGTGTGGGGCCCAGGCAACCGTCGCACAGAAATGTGGCTTGTACAGTCTGACCAGCAGAGGGCCTTCAAAGGGGGGCACTTCGGACCCCACAACCCAGCAGCCAGGCCCCAGAGGGAGGAAGCGTGGGTTAGAGCCAAGGATCTCCAGGCAGCAGGAAGGAAGGACCACGCTGGTGGGGTAGGGACCAAAGAGTGGAGCTGGGGGCAGAGCAAGCTGGGACCCTGAGCACCAATGTGGAGTGAGTTGGAAGGACTGGCAGTCGCCTGAGATCAGGGAACGTGATGCTGCTCCCAGCAGTCCTGAAAGAGCTGCGGGGCACTTGCCTCTCCAGACCTTCTACCCTTCAGAGAAAGAGTGGACCCCCAGTGGCCAGATTACTGTTTCCTCTTTTGCTCTGGCCCCAGGACTGACCCAGTGAAAGCCCCAGAAACAAATGGGAGAGGGACTTTCCAGCACCTTCCTGCTCTCCCCTGTCTTGGAGCCCAGAAAAAGCCCCTCTGTGTTGCCTTACACTGCTGGCAGCAGGGCTGGATGAAGGGCATGGTGTCTGGTGCAAAAGTGAGATGGGGATGCTGAGCTTGAGGAAACAGGACTGAGGTGGTATGAGGTGGGTTGATAGAAACAGAATCAAGGCTGTGGTCCTTTTGCAGCTGACCTGCCTGGGAGGAGGAATAGGAAGCTGATGCCTGAGATGCTAGCACGGAAATCCCACCCAGGGCTCCAGGGTGGCCTGGGGGAGAGGAATGGTGTTTGGAGCCACTGGGAGCTTTGCTCCCCATAGAGACATCGGCAGGCCTGGGGGTAGTCCCTGAGGTCCCCAGCCACTGTCAGGAGTCCATAAGCTGAAACACTCAGACTGCTTCTGCCAACCCAGAGCCAAGGGCAGAGGGTATGTCTGTCCCTCTAGGGAGCTGACACTCAGTGCCCCAAGCCCTAGCACCCTCACTAACGTGGCTCAGAAAAACCTGCTGAATCCTCTCTCAAGGCCACAGTGACAACAGCAAGACAGGGACATCAGTCCAGCAGTCTCCCAAGAAGGTTTGTATGTGGCCTAATATAATTGAGCCACATGTGATTGGTTGGTCTCCTGGATCCCTGGGAACACAGCTCCTCCCTCAGCACCCATGTTTCCCCTTTAAATCTGTTCTTCCATGGTGTCTCAGGTGACCTCCAGTGAAAACATGCTCCCTAACAGAGCCAACTGGCTGAAAAAGCAAAAATAACAGCACTTTTCTTTAGTCTCCAAGGTTGACTTCACTCCTTTGGAACCTTTAGCATTTGCTTAATTACTTCCAGGAGTGGGAGCAGAGGCCCATGCTGTGGACCATGCAACACCAGGTCACTTAAGGCTGTATACATCCAGGGGAGTTGGAGGTCCTGCACTGTCCTGCTCTTCATCTGCTAGCAGCTCTCTGCTGACAGGGGTGGTCAGAGCTGGGCCCATAAGGCCATTTGGACTTCCAACCCATCAAGGGTGTCTTGTCGATGCCAAAGCTGGGGAAGCAGAGGGCAAAGGAGCCAGGACTAGAGAAAGTAGATGTTGGAGTCAGCCTGGCCCTGGACCCCTGGGTTTGTAGGGTGCAGGTGTGGGCAGAGGGCAAGAAGAGAGTAGATCAGCAGTATTTGGCATGCAGCAACGGGCACCGCTAGGGCTCGGCAGCATGCTTGACCAAGTAGCCACTGAAGGTGATGTAGGTGTCAAACTCATCACTGAAGATGGCGTTCTCACGCTCGCCCTTAAATAGGCGCACCCACACCTCATCCTGCTCCCGCAGCTCCAGCATCAGGCTCTGGCTCTGCATGATGCTACGGTCGCTAACCTGGGCATACAGGATCACCACCTCCTCCGTGTTCCTCATTATGTGCAGGTAGGTTTCCTTCTGGTTCCACGTGTGTACATTGAGGCTGAAGAAGTAGATGCCAGGCACATAGCAGTAGAATCTGCCTGTGAACATGTTAAAGTGGCCGTAGAGGTTCACGAACTCGGTGTCAAAGACCACTGTCTGGTAGTAGTCATTGCTGTGAAGGGGCTTCTTCCGGCCCACTGAGAAGGCTGCATAGTGGTTCTTGCACCGGTCTCCAGGGGCTCCCATCGACCCCTTCTGCCCTTTGGGTCCGATGTGACCCCTGGCACCTACAGAGCCTGTCTTGCCATATTTCCCTTGAAGGCCACGATCTCCTCGGTCACCCTTCTCACCTAAAAGAGACAGGAAGACAAGGGGGTCAGGGAGAAATGTGGTGGTCAGCCTGCCTATTTTTGGCCCCAGGCACCATCTTGATTTAACATCACAGCCTTGACGCGGCTGGCTTCACTTCTGCCACAACCTGCTAAGGCTCCCATCCTGGGCACCAAGGTAATTTGATTCCCAAAACAGTCAAGCTACCAGATTCAGTTGCAAGGGTTGATCTATTTTCATCCAGAAACAGTAGTTTTGTTTTGTTTTGTTTTTTGTTTTGTTTGGTTTGGTTTGGTTTGGTTTCCCTTCTGGAACGCCCTGGCAAAGATAAAGGGACATATGGGTTTGTCCACAAGCAAGAGGCTCCATGGCCAGCCCCAGACTCACTGAGCAAATGGACTGCAGATGTTGGTGCTTGGCCAAAGATCAGATAGTAAGCATTCCCAAGGGACTGTATCAGAAAACGCCCTGGGGACTGCAAACCTCAAAACAATGACCTCAGAGCCCTGCAGTCCACCCCACCCTGTAAGTGAAGGGCCCCACAGCCTCAGGCTCCCTCTCCCACACTCAGCACTGTGGGCTCTTCTTGGAAACCAGCCAGAGCCTCAAAATCAGAATTTTCTCCTCTCCCCCCAGGTGACAGCCCTGCTCTGCTCCTGCTCCCAGGGAGCCCAGCCCACCCCACCCTGACCACTCTGCCATCTCCCTCAACCAGCAGCCAGAAGTCCTCAGGATGCACCCTGCTTCCCTCTCTGCAGGTGTCTGACCTTTCAAGATTGTGATGTTGATCTGGGGCACTGGGATCGCCTGGTACACGGAGGTTGCGGGGTCACAGCAGCGAAAGCACCGGGAAGCAGGCAGCTCCTCGCCCAGGTTGGGGCTGTATTTCTCCTGTTTGTCTTCATCCCTGAGGGAATAAAGCATCCCAGTAAAAGCCATGAACTCACAGGGCAGGAATGCACCTTTCTGCCGCTGACTGGTCTCGGTCGCCTGACCCGCCTCCCTGTCCCTCACCTGCACGCTCAAGGCTGTAATTAGCATTGGCACAAGACAAATTCTGGGACCCGAACCAAACTCCAGAATGAGCCCCCTCCCCTTTGTGAACAGCAGCAAGAGTAGTAGGAGCAATAACAACACAAACACTGGTAATTTGAGGGCTGTGTAAGACACAGCCTACTCTGGAAAACATCGTCAGGCTGTGGCCTTGCAATGATGTAACACAATGCCCTATCAGATATCTGTAATTCTGGAAAATTGTCTCCTAAGCTGGCTCATTTGTAAATGAGAGTATTCAACTTGATCTTTAGGATGCCTTTGGGCGGCTGCTGCTGGAGATGCTAATGTTTCCTGCCTGACATCTACTGGAAGGCTAGAGAGCAGGTGGAAGGTGACAGCTTCATGGTGCCACCTTGCGGCAGCTCGGGGCATTGCACCGTGATCTCGCTCTGCTCGCTAGGCGCTCAGAGGCAGCAAAGCCCTTCTCAAATGGCCGGTGCCTAACTGTGCTCCCACTTCCACGGACAGTCCAGTAGATGGATTTTCATACCCTCAGCTCAGCCCCCAAGAGCTCAAACATGCACACTTGGGCCACCACATCTCCTAAGCCATGAACCTCTTGTCAAACCTCCCGCCAAACCAACCCCAGAGATTCATCAGGCGCCACAGATATCATGTGCCCAAAACTGAAACCCTGCACACGTCCCTTCGCCCAGGAACTTCTCCGCCCAGACATGGGTTCCAGCACCCGTCCACCACAGAGCCCTTGGCCTCATCCTAGGTGCTGCACAGCCACATTCAACACCTGACCTGAAGTCCCCCCAGCTGGATGCGGCCCTCATCATCTCTGACATCACCATCAGGGCTGCTCTCCTGGAATTCGCCTCTATGGCAGCAATGCACCCTTTCTAACGCTTCATTCCATCCTTCCTTCTGGAACACCATCACAGGCAAACCTTCCTCTGACTCCCTGTTGCCTACAGGAGATATCCAGGTGAGACTCTTCCCCACCAGACCCAGCTGCCCCAGGCTGATCTCTCTATTTCCTATCTTAGTCTGTGGCTCCCACCATCCCATACTGCCGGCCCACCCCACGCCAGTAGCTGCACCGCTGCACACCTCATGCTGGCAGCTGGGCTGGCTACCTCTGCACCTGGGAGCCTCCCCGGTGTCCTTTAAGAACCAGTTCACTCTTCTGCTTGGTCTTTCTGGCTCTCACCCTCCCTCTCCTACCCCTCCACCCCCCAGCATTGTGGGAATACCTCCACTACCCAGCTTGCCTTGCTGC